AAAAAAAAGGGATCACTTTATAGGTAAAGGTCATAACACTTGCTTTAAAACTTGCTTACAGTTGCAGGGTTGAGACAACAATGCAGCCTCTTGAGTTCTCTAATGCTTCAAGGCCAAGTTCAACATCCATAGTGACATACAAGGCCCTTCAAGATCTCCCTAGAGATCTTGTCCACCTTTTCTGAGTATCCTACATTCCAGCCACAGTCAAAAGTTTCTTAAACCAACTTTGGTCAGACTGTTTCCTACTTTTCTGTACACTCATCTCTTAGCCTGAGATTGCCTTCCCCATTTTCTCTAGACTAGAACCTGGTCTAGTCCACTTCCAGGATCTCTTTTAGACATCTTCATCCTTATCAAGCCTTCCCTCCATCCTCCTTTGTACCCTACACTACACCTGCAAGGCTTACTGCATTATTTTCATTTATTTCCTTCCCCTCCACCAATAATTTCACATTGTGTTACTATAAGTAAAAATTAAAAGATAGGTGCTATTGGATGTTTATCAGTGGACTGTATTTGTATGATCCACCACCCTTTCAGGTGCTTGAATATCCTCTGCAAACAGCCATTCGTTCATTTATACATATATTCATCCAAAAATACATGTCTAAAAAGTGCCCGTCATTGTACTGCATGTCAAGCAGAGGTAGATTTACCATAAAATTAATGAATGAAGCTTAAGCCTCAAGACACTGACTTGCATCTTCCAAAGCTCTGAACCTTCTTTTCTGTGTGTGATTTTGTATCTTCCTTTCTTAAAGAGATGACAGACCTGAGAGAGTTTTAAGCACTAGACACTACGCCTACTCTTAGCGCCTAAGATACAAAGCATGCAAGGCAGACCTCTCTGTCCCTTTTGGCTTCTCATGCTTATGGTGGAAAACAGACAACTATATCTGTTCGTTCATTCATTGGATAATGGTTTACCAAGCAATGCTCTGAGTCATGCACTCTGAGGTAAAGCCAACACTGTTCATGCGTTAAGGCGGAGACAAACCAATGCCTGCTGTTTTCATGGAACTGAAAGCAATTTAAGGGACGGTAGTGCGCACGGTGGGAAAAATTATCTTAAACCTCGTCTCGGAAGAACTGAGTCCCCTATTTTGCCTATTTTGAAGGGCAAGTTCAGGAGAAGCTGGATTTTGAACTCGATGAGTAGTGCGAAGAGGGCACAGAAGTAAACCAAACAAGCAAATACAGGGCAGTCGGCGATTCGACAGAAACTAAGGGGTTTCTCGAGACTCAAGTCCGCAGCGCCGGCAAAGCCGTTACCTAACAAAGTGACCCATGAGCTCGCGGAAGATTTCCAAGTGCCTCCTTCCCTTCAGAAGAAATCTGCTTGCCATTTTCCCAGTAACGCGTCCCCCTTCCTCAAAATAAACCCTTTCCTTCTCGTTGTCAGCTGTTGGCCAAATCAGGGGTTCCCCTTCTCGGGACGACTTCCTTCACAACACGCGCGCGGTCAGCGTCTCGGGCGGGACCTGGGGTCGCGGTCCCCGATTCCCCCCCCCTCACGTTCCCATAGTAACCAGCTCACCACTTCTCGGGCCCGGCTGGAGAAGTCGCCCTTGGGCCGAGGGCTCCGGCGGAACAGCTCATCCCGACTGCCATCTACCCCGCCGCCGACTGCCACTCCCAGCACTTTGTTCCGCGTCTTCACAGTCTTGACGCTAGCCCGAAACAGCAGAGTGATGTCCACCGCCATCGCGACCCGTCCCCACAGCCCTACACTTGCCGGCCGGCCCACGTCAGCAGCCGGCGACAGCTGCGCGGACCCGGCAGCTGGAGGACTGTTCCGGCTCAGCACCTCTCCGCCCGGCAACGGCGGTGGGAGAAGAAAGGTTCCGGGCCCCGCCGAGAGCCCACAGCCAGGGAAGAAAGGTTCCGCCCTCGGCCGGCGCACCGCGGCTGTGCGCGACTCATACGCGGCAACGGATTCTTCTCCTCGCGAACTTCGGCCCATACCCGAGCCCCTGTGTACCTGGGGACAAGAGGACGGGAGGGCGGCAGGGTTGTCCCTTGTCGCGGCTGCCTGCCTCACTGGGCTGGGGCGTTTGGTGGCGGGGTGTGGAGGCGACCACAAAGGGGCATTGGACGAGGCCCATCCGGCTTCCCTCAGCGGCCGGAGACCTCCATCCGCGACCTCAGCCGCTCCCGTGAAGTGAAGCCAGCCTCTCCTCCGAGTTCATTGAGGGCTCAGGCGGAAGACGCGGGTGAAGTGTTCTGGCGTGGCCTGGCTGCTAGCAGGCGGTCAGTGAATGTGACGTTTCCGTTTATGAAGTGATTTGTTTTCGGCCTTATGAGTACTAAGGTGAAGAGCTGGAGAAGGTATCCCTGAGCAGAGAGAGTTGGAGCCTGAGGAGGAATTTACCAGATGCTGACAATGTGGAAACCACGTCGCTTAACTGTTCGCCTTTTATTTGTGTTGCCAAATGTGCCAGTTTGAGCCATAGTTATTTAAATGGACAAGTCAGAGATGAGGTTTTTCTGCATTTTTTTGATCGCTGTACAGTTTTAACTCTAGATTGAGTTGAGTTCAAGTCCCCCACCCCCTTTTTTTTTTCTTAAAGAGACATAACTGGAATTGTAGAAATGTAGAGCAATGGCCAGCAAGATAAAAAGTTACTTTTGTAATAATACTAAGATGTTATTTGCCTTTTCACTCTCATAGAGTTGAATTTTCCAAAGACTGTGATTTTGCAACACACTAAATGTGGAGCAGCTGTCTTCTATTAAGCTTGACTTTCAAGAGACAAAACAATGTAAATTCCATTCTTACCAGTTTTGTTGATGTTTGGGAAAATGCATTTTTAATAAAAAGATGACACTTATGTTATTATGCACATACTAGACTTATCCTTGTTTACTTTTAGATCACAAATAATAGATACTTTTAAGCTTTTTGTTTTATTTTAATATGGTAAGTATTGATAGAAAAAAATCCATATAAACAAGCATTGTTTAGGGCCCTGAGTAAATTTTTAAAGGTATAAAGAGTTCTGAGATCAAAATTTGAAGGCCACTATGTTGAAGAAATAATTTTGTAAGAAATACAGTGGTGCCTCAGCTCACAAACTTAATTCTTTCACCAGAATTAAGTTCATGAACTGAGGTACCATTGAAGATCGTAAGAAAATATGCGTATACCAGAAAAGAGGAAGAGGAAGATTATTGAAAATCCAGACTGTAGCCACTTCATCTTTCTTATATGAAGAAACATTTCCATACAAGCTCCTTCCACCTAAAGAGGACAAGAGAGAAACAAATTACAAAACTCTCTACCAAAGATTCTTTGTTTATGAAGACATTGATGAGCCTAGGGCTATCAAAGTAAGCTCTAAACACAGAAGAAAGAGAGGTACATTGCTGTGCATGACAAAGGGACAGAATTACATTAGGTGAAAGAAGAAGCTAGAACCTAAAGAGGGCTTGGAAAAGTAGAAAGTGGGTGGGTGGAAGACATTCTGAGTGGGAAAGAGACTGAGCTACTCCGAAACTCCTGTGAATGGGGTTTGGTGCAGCGGATTTTGTGGGTTAAAAAAACAAATCAAACATCTTGAAGTGTTCTGTGCAGATCTGTAAGAACAGAAGATTGTGGTAGAGCTGAGACCCAAGTGAGCTGAAAACTTCATGATACAAAGCCACAAGTGACCACAAGTACATAAAATCGCTAGAAAAGTCCCATGGAAAAGCCTTTTGCCTTAACCTGATGGTTATTTAATCCTACTTTTGATTTCTACTATCTTGTAACAAGACGACTTTGGCCCCTTGAGCTGATTTGTCCACATCCAGATTCCTAGAAGCAGTGTGAGTATTAACCTACTGGGCAAACAGGTCTTTGCACATTTAATTAAAGATCTTGAGATGAGCAGATTATCCTGGATCACCTATGTGGGCCCTTGACCCAATACCAGTGTTCTTTTAAGAGAAACTTGGAGAAGAGAGCTTCACAGAGAAATGCAGTCACTTGTGCAGAAATGCTGACAGCCACTGGAAGCTGGACAAGACAAAGGAGAAGTCTCCCTCTAGAGCTTCTGAAGGAAGCATGTCCCTGCCAATGCTTTGGTCTCAGAGTTCGGCCCTGCAGGACCATGAGAAATAAATTTCTATTATTCTAAGTCATGAAGTTTGTTGTCATCTGTTCTTGTAACCTAGGAAACTATTACATAGCACAGTTCTTTTCCCTTCCTAGTCTTCTGTTTTCTAGTCGCCATTTTCTTGGCCTATTCCTCCTTCATGTTGATTCTCTCCTGGTCCTCTGTTCCTGTTTAGACATTGATTCCCTCCAGATAAGCACCTTCAGCTGCCCTGGGGCCTGGATCTTTGACATTAATGAAGTCCTAACCTTTTGTTCTTTCATTCCCCCATCTCTTATTTTGCTCTCCTCACCTCCCTCTATCCTTGGAGAATCACATCTGATCATGTCCCTTGTTCTCCAAGGAAGGATCCAAACTACATGCACTGAATCTAGCCAGAGAAGATGCCAAGAAGGGCTCTTTTCATCAGGTTTGCAGTGAAAAGGCTGTCCAGGGGACATCAACACATGACACTTTCTTCATGCTCAACAATGATTCAGAAAGGGTGAAGGTATTCAGCTCTTGTTTCCAGGTGTTTGCCTAAAGACTGTTTGAACACAGAAGGGGTAAGCACAGATTTGGAGGTTCTGGCAGCAGCTTGTAGCATCCAGAGTGGTCCCTGTCCATCTCAGAAGACACTGTACTCAGAGGTTGAAAGTGCAGAAAAGAAAACATGACCCTGGCACACAATCAAATCCACCCTACAGGCCAGGGAGCAACATGCCTTCAGGACAGAGAGATGAGTGAACAGGTGAAACCCAAGGAAGCAGCATGTGCAAGAGAACACAGAGCCATTCATTGAGAGTCTCAACAAAGGGACAAAACAGGTCCCAGGCTCTCAAGGGTTCTTTTCTCAGCTTGTGTCAGTATGACTAAGGTTCAAGAGATGGAGTGTGAAAGAGTGAAACTGGCGGGACATTACATGTGGTTTGAATTCTGCCAGTCATATTTAGGTGATCACCATGAGGAGCTTGATTTAGGAGATTATCTCAAGACATTTCATTTGTTGGTTGTCACATATTCAACAAAGGATGAATGTATGTGCAGCAAGACACAGGAGTTAACTGGTTTCTCTAGGCTTAGTGTTTTCTGCCATCAGCAATGGCCTTGGGAAAGACCCACCCCCTCCTCTTTCCCAGGAGTTTCCCATAACCTCTTGCTCCAAATGCCTGCTCCAGTAGGCCAGACTCATGAAGGGCTCAGTGCAATCTGAGGGCCCAGCTCTGAAGACAGTCATCTGTCAAGGGAAAGGTGCTCTGGAGCTGGGACTCACATCTGCCGACAATTACTCTAACCCTGCAGGGTGGTCCTCAGGCTCTCTGTCTTACTTTCCTGTCACTGAGACATAAGGCGCAGCCCCAAGGCAGGAGGGCCTGGGCAGAGGACAGCTGCTCATCTCATGGCATCTAGGAGGCAGAGAGAGACAGGAAGAGCCAGAGGGAGACACACTCTTCCAAGGAACAGCCCTAGTGACAGCCTCTTCCAATCAGACCCCACCTTTGAACAGCAAACCAGTTGTAAACCCCATAATCCAATCATTTTCCAAACTGGGGGACATGTACGTATAAAACATAATGTTCTCCCAATATTGTTGAAGGAGAAAGTCACACAGATGGGGACACTTAACAGAAAGCTTCAGAAGCAAGCAGGGGAAGTGATTGCTTTTTCATTCCTCATCCTGTGTATAGTTTTCAGCCTCTGGACACCAAGAGAACAAGATAGCTTTGGATAAATCACACATTGACTTTTCTCTTTGGACAATGGTGACCTCAAACTTTATTTACTTAAGAAACTTCTGTAAAGTCTCCAAGCGATACTTATCAGGGCTTTGAGTGCTTTCTAGTTAAAAGGAAATCCTAGGAAGCAATTACTAGAAGATAACTAATAAAGAAAAACACGCAAATACATGGCATTTGGAAGTGGGAGCACTTGGGTTTGAATTTGAGGTTATGACTGGGCAAGTTTCTTCACTTCTCAGAGCCTCATCTGAAAAATACAGGAATACTTCTCCCTGCCCCTGACTTCTGTGTGCAGGGATTTCCCCAAAGCTCCCTTTCCATCCTCCTGAGGAAGAAATCTTCTGGTTGTTGGACCATACCAACAAGTCTGCATTTTACTATTGTTTGACACCATTGGGTTGTATTCAGGTTTTACAGGAGTCAGTGAATAGCAGTGGAATAGATTTAATACAAGACGTATAATTTGTAGAACTACTTTGTAATTTCACAAAAAAAAATCAAATGCAGAAGGAGACAAGAGCTCTGTCCACACAGTGGAAACCCAAAGAGTCCAGCTGATGGCTTGGGTACCATGACAATGGCTTTCCACATCAGAAGGCCAAAGGGTCTTCGATGGAAGACCAGAAAGCCAAGGGACCAGTGCTGAAGGCTAGAGACTGTACCAAGAGCTAGGAGATGATGCCAAAGTGAAGTCGAGGACCAGATCTCCGCCTAAGGGAGCAGCAGGGTGGGAGGTGGGTGGGAGGGAAGCAGCTCTTTGGGGTCTCTGGCAGGCCTTAGGTGAATTGCAGTGATGGCCTCCAGGAATTTGGAGTAAGGCACTTCTAAGGGAAATCAGCATGAAAGCCTCCCCTCCTATTCTCCTTTTATTTGTATTCTGACAACAATCCACAGGTGGATTTTCCACAGAAACATGCTGACTGTTCTGCTGGGCATTGGTCCTCAAGTTGACCAGTAATTAATGCATCACACACTCTTATCAATAGTTGTGAACTGAAAACTTTTCTCAGTAGGATTAAACTCAAGAGTACTCTGCCACTGAGCTACATTGCCAGCCCTTTTGTAAATACTTTTGAAAAAATATTTATTTATTTATTTAGGTCTCACTATGCAGTTCAGACTTATAGTGATCCTCCTGTCTCAGCCTCCCCAGTGCTGAGATTACAGGCATGCTCCACCACCACACCTGGTTTCCATGGCCAGCTCAGTGGGGCCAAGGTTCCAGGGAGAGCAGGGCATGCAGTACTGGAATTGAACCTGGGTCTTTATGCTTGCCAAGCAGGCACTTAGACCACTGAGCTATCTCCCCAGTCCCTATAACAACTTTTTAAAAATAGTTTTTTGATGGGCCGGGGAGATAGCTCAGTAGAATAAATGCCTGCCTGGCAAGCACAGGATCCTGAGTTCAATCCCTGGTACCACAAAAAAAAAATTGAGATAAAACTAAGTTCAAGGCTGGCCTTGAATTTGTCTTTCAGCCTCAGTCTCCTGTGGAGGTGGAATCTAAGGCATGCACCACCATGCCCAGCCAGGGTGTTCCTTCTTTTGATCACCTGCACCACTGGGAGGCATTACCTGGGTGAGGAGTGTTCTGCAGCCTTACACTTTACCCTAGAGGAGCGGGAACAGCAAAGTACCCCAGAAGCTCTGTTTGTGGCCCCCCCCCCCCGTGTAATTGTGTCCACAAACCAGCTTCTCTGCTTCTTTGTTCCTTTGCTGAATCCAGATCTCTCTCACTCCTGAGTTTTTATGTTGAGCTTCGGGTCACAAGAAGGGTTAACTTGTTGTGTGGATCTCAAATTCAAATCTAGATACTGCATAACATAGTTGTCCCATGTGAGACCCGTACTCTCCCCCGGTACAGTCAACATGGCTGAACAAGAAAAGCCAAGTGGTTCAAGCTGTCTGGATAGTCCATATTTTAGAGATTTTGGAGGGATATTAGATTACTGTTGCTGTTACACATCTAGTGGCTTAATATGGCACCAATAAATGTGTCATCCTGCATTCTAGAGGCCAGAGAATGGAGGCTACGCTCCATTCTGGGGGCTCTGAGGGAAACTTGTTTCTTTGTCTTCTCCAGCTTCTGCATGCAGTCTGCATTCCTTGGGCACTGGTTCCACTTTGACAAACCCGGAAGGGTGGGTTGAGTTTTCTCACTTCCCTCTGACACCGACCTCTGTACCTCTCTCTCCGACGTCTTCAGACCCTTGTCTTTGCACAGGGCCCATCTAGAAGGTTCAAAATAAGCGCCCTCTGCTCAAAAGCCATGTTCCCAAAAGGCCCATGGAGTAAAGGCTAGGTCCCCACAGTGACATGACACCCCTAGGATTTGGCAGGCACTTTAAAGGAAGAGCCTTCTGGAAGATATTCAGGTCACTGGTGTGTGTCCTTGAAGGGGACAACAGGACTGCAGTCTCTTCTTTTCTGTCAGTGTCTTTGCTTTCTGGCCATGAGGGGAGAAGTTTTGCTCTACATTTTCTTCCATGTTCAGCAGACCCATCAATCACAGACAGAGACATCTAAATCTATGAGCAAAAGTAACCTTTTCTCTTTATATATTGTTGGGCTGGGGATATAACTCAATAGTACGCACCTTCCTGGCAAGCATAAAGTCGTCAGTTCAATTCCCAGTACCAAAAAAACCCCCAAAAACTGCTTTGTGTCTTTATAAGTTGTTTGTCCAAATATTGACAAAGAAACACAGATAGCAACAGAAAAGTGACCAAGACATTCACTCACCAACAAGCTTAATTCCACCTGTAAGTGCAGCTCCCTCTTGCCATGTAGCACACACGTTCACACACGTAGGGGCTAGGAGTAGGCCAGGGCCCAGGAAGGAAGCACCAGTGAAAAGGAGGGATGATCTTGAACTAGGAAGACAACCTGTGTGTCTTCTTGAGGGAACAGAGGTCCACCTTATCTTTTCATGTCCCCAACACTATCTTGGGCCCGCTCCTTGTGGTACCCGGTTCTGCAGGAATAATGAAAACTGGGACAGCCTGTGGCAGTGTGCTCCTGCTGCCCTAAGCCTACCTGCTCACTGAAGCACTTACTCAACTTTGCTTTCCTCACATTAGCGGACTCAACTCAGTGATGCAGTCAACTGTCACCAACAGTCAGGTCCTCTCTCCCTTCAACTCCACCCCCCCCCACCAGGGCTGGAAGTTTGGTGTGACTTCTACCCAGTGCTTACTATGTCCACCCCAAGAGTTTCATAAATCACCTCATAAAAATGC